GAGAATTGCAGAGGTTACTTTTGGCTCAACTGTAAAAAACTCATTGGTTTGGATGAAGCTGCAGAAAATGAAAAGGAAGCATAAGTACTGTCAGAAAATGAAAGAGTAAATGCTAACCGCAACACCCACTAAAGAATGAAAACATTCCCACACTTCATTCTCATTTAAAATCTGGGACACAAAACATTATTAAGTGGCTCTCTGAGGTTGCTAGGAAAAAACGATAAACAAACAAGTAACAACCGTTAAAACCATACCTCCTCGATTCTTGCGGTCAGCTGCATTTCCAGCTGGTATATTCTGTCTTTGTCGCTGTCCGTCCGGCTGCTCGACGCTGAAACAGTAAAACGACGGATATTTCAGAAAACTAACTTACAAGCACTAAATAGCCTATAGAGATAAACAGCTAATAAATGTACAATTTATGATGAGCAAGCACCGATGATCATTACCAGCCATATAAAGGACAACACGAGATTAAAGAGGGCCAAATAAAATTACGCAAATGTATACATATTTTAGTAAACAATAAAACAAATATAAACAATAAGCTATAGCATAACAGAGAAAAGAATTTTCATATTTTCATAATTGCAATTAATACCGTACAACGAAAAATGAACACCATTAACAAAGTTAACAACTTAACAACATTAACTTTAACAAAGACCCGTTTCAGACTATAAATCTCGTTTCGTACTAAATGGTAGGATTCATTCAAAGTTTAAGCAACAGATACAAAGCATTAATTTTCTGAATGTAATAATGGCCAAATTTTCTAATCTCAACTTTCCTAAAACTTGGCAACCGAAAGGGCCGAGACTGCAGTTTCACTTGCCTATAATTTGAATATATATTGTGTTTATTAGAGAAACTTCAGTAAATCAACTCAAACAATTAAAATGAATGAATTTTAATAAGCTTTCGATCAGATGGTATGTGAAGTATACTGTTTGCCAAAAAATACTTTTCAGGAGAACTCGGATTATCAGGAGTATCCCTGCAATCTTTATTACCGCCACGATCCCGGGTTACTGCATACTGAAACTCTAAAGGCACTAATGATGCACTTAGATGAGATGTGTAATAGCAAATGATGATTCCTTATTCGATTAGGCCTACTTAAAAGAAAAAAGTCAGTATATTAGAAAAGGATCGGCATATTTTATTGAACTTATCAATGCTATGTATCATCTAAAACTACACGGTAATTTATCGGTATTTCTCGATAATGCTAAAAAGCACGTACATGAAGGGA